CCTAGGTTCAAATAAGTACAGCAACACTAGCTATGAGCCCAACTGCTGTAATCTCGATGGACAGACTTACTTTAGACATCTGTGCTGTTATCAGCAGGACAGGCTGATTGTTTACTCGAGGTGCATGCAAGCTAGCTCAAAACACCAGTTCTATACTAGAAAAAGGATAAAAGAGAAAACCAAAGGATTATCGGAAAACCACTAGTGGAGAGAAAAATGACCTATAAAATAACCAACCGTTTACTCTCTTGGTACAAATTTTCAGCTCTAACACCACATTGCAAAATCAAATATCCAATGGTAGAAACAAAAAAGGAAAAAGGTAAGCCTTGAGAGTTTCTCAAATAAAGTTCCATAATAAGAATATTAGAACTGCAGACACTTTACAAGATCAGCATCAATTATCATAGAAAATGTTACCTTTATCTCAGATTGAAGCAATCAAAGAAGTGAACATCAAACTAACACTGATAACACAATGAAACCAAAAAAAAGGGGGGGAAATATCTACTTTCTGCCACTATTCACTTACAACTAAAAAAATCCCATTTTGGTAGACTAAAAACAGTCTCACAATCAAAACTCACTTAATTAACCACCTCCCCCAAAAAATATCCTGACTTTATTGTTAGCAACAGACCAAAGGACAAAAATATCAAAATACAGAACAATCAATAAAAAGATCAAAACTTAACAAAACCCCATATCAGTAAAAGATATTTCTGAACCAAAATTGCTGAAAGAAAATAAAACCAGAAAAGAAAAAAAAAACAAAAGATAACTCAAACAGGGTAGAAACCAGAAAACTCAAAAGGGGTGAAAAAAATTATACTATGATTCTAAAACAGCATAAAATTTTCAGATATCAATACACATACAAAAGTTGACTTACAGTGTATTGGCATGTTGAATATCAGCTTCAAGAACTTTGAGAGAATCTTTAAATGATTTTCTCATTGGCCCTCCTAAACCTCCTGTATACATATCCCCTTTACCTCAATTCCCCCCTTCAAAACACCACACAACCCCAAAAAAACTCCCCCTTCAAACACCCAAAAATAATTCCTCAGAACCAAAGAATCATCACCATAACTGATCCTCAACACCCTTTTCCTCAATTTCCCCCCTTTCTACACCAAAACCCCCCAAAAAAATCCTCAAAACCAAAGAATCATCATCAGTATCACTAATTCTCAACACCCTTTTCTTCTCAGAAAATATTTTTAGAATTTTTTTTTCGAATTTGTGAGTGATAAAAATTAAACTATGGTGCTGTAACAGTCCTTCGTTCTTGTATAAAAGAAGAGGAAAAAGGAGTTGTAGTTATCAGTGGGACACGTGGCGTAGAGGTTGTACTATTTTTAAATATATAAATACAACTACTTTTTCATGGGTAAATTGTGAATTAAATTTACAAACATAATCGATATGTCACCATTTGAATTTTTTTTAATAAAAAACCATGAATTTAGATATAAAATTAATTATATTTGAATAGCTTTCGCAAGTTGAAAATGCCATATTATTTATTTGTCGAAATTATATTTTTAAAAAAAGTTACAACTTTTTGTCAGGTTTTTCCTTGATTTTCTTATTATATTTGAATTTTATTTTTTCTTTCAGAGTAAGTCAAAACATTACCATAAATGTTTTTACTTTTTCAAAAAAAATATATAATTCTTTTTTATATTTGATTATTTTTTCCTTAGAGGAAAACCTTAAAACTCTATCAATTGAATATCTCCATGTAAAATCTCCTAATATGTTTATACTTTTTTAATATTAGTCTTATAATATTCTTATAATATGTAGATAGCATTATAAGTTGTCATATGATATCCTGATTCTTTTGAACCTAACATTTTGTAGGTATTGAGCGAATATAATTGATTTTGTGTACAATTGATAAGTCATATATAAATAAAATAATTTTTCTCTGAAAAAAAATTCAAATAAACCCTCTCGATTTTACCTAACTTTGCCTCAATATAATATGTATTTATTACCTATTTTACATATATATATATATATATATATAGAGAGAGATGTTCCTTTATCGCTCCACGCACTAATGACCGCTATCGTTAATCCTCCTTTTAAATTGTTTTTTTCTTTCATGGTTAAAAAATATATTGAAATATTATTATTATTTTGTGAGTTTACATTTTAATTATTTTTTATTTTAATTTATTTGATCTAATTTGATTTGATAGAGCATAAGAAAGTAAATAGTTTTATTGAATTGTGTGATCATAAATAAAGATAAATCAAATATATTAAAATCCTTCTTTCATTTTGTTGTCTTAAGCATGATATGAGAATAATTTTTGAATTAAACAATTTTGATATCGTAAATATTTATACGATAATTCAGTATACATATTAAAGGAAAAGATAACATTTGGCATGCTAATTTTTAGAGAAATCACAGATAGAGGTTAAATCTTCACTCGCGAGGTGTAACATTTTGAATTTAACATCACATGTCATTCAAAATATTCAAATTAATCATTATGTATAAGCATCTACAATTTACGAGTAAAGGTGCTGCAATTGACCCAATAGACTAAGGCCTTGCAACCACACTCCATTATCTTTATTTGTTTCATCGAATCATTAACTTTGATATTAGTTATTAGGCCAAATAACTTTAAAATATTTTTACATAGCGTGATATGATCTGTTTTGTATTAATCCCTCATGATTTCTCTCATTAAGAAAAACATACATTTTAAATATAGGATTTTTTTCTTTTCAACTTTTAACGTGGAAATTAATTCACAATAGTGAGATTGTTCCAAAGGATCCTCAATTCAAATATTGTAAATCATAAAAACATCAGTAATAATGCAACCACTTAAATATTAAAAAATAATATCGAATATTTTGAATAATGTATATTCAATTTACTAAAACGGGTAATTTGGTTTAGGTTGTAATCCAACTACTGGATAATGAATCCAGCTAATGACAATTTAATTAATTTATTATACCAATAAGACTATCTTAGATAAACCTTGTTGACTTTTCAATTGAAAAACAAGATAACGATTAGATTAAAAAAATATCGTATGAAGAAATGTTAATTTAGGAGTGAGTAAATGACATAAATAGTCCCTAAACTATTATACTAGGTCTAAAATAGTCCCTTAATTATACAGTTAACGAATATAGTCTTTTAACTATCTACAATCTTATCAAGTTTGGTCTATATCTACTTTTTATAAATAAAAAAAAACTTGTTATTCTAATTTAATCTCTATCTCCTGACTTTTTTTTGCCACTTCTTTCCTCTATTATCACTATTTCTTCACTTTATTTTGTCCGATTCTTTTCTTCATTGTCTTACTGTAATTGTGTGTCGGTCGTTATTTTATTTGAGTTGAATCAAATTGCAGCTCTAAAACCAAAAAGTCAGCATGAAACTGTACATAACACAACACTAGACAACAACATCAAACCATTAAAATATCAATATCAAACTACTACTTCAGACTACGAAAAATTTGCACCAAAAGCACTCGAGCATCAAAAATCAGCTGCAAACTGCACAAAAAATAGCACAGACACTATGCCAAACTACACAAAAACTGCACCAAAAAAATCACCAAGCTACCCCAAACTGCACAAAAACAACACCAAACTTGACAAGGTTTTCTTTACTATAACAGTGTCAATGAAAAAAAGAAGAGGCAAAAAGAAAATCAAGAGAGAGTAGTTGAATTACGAAGTTTGTTAACGGTGTCTATAAAAAGTAGATACAGACCAAACTTGACAAGATTGTAGATAGTTAAGGGACTATTTTCATTAAGTGTATAGTTTATGGACTATTTATGTCATTTTCTCTTATTTTTAAAATCTACAAATGTCAAACATCACTATCTGACTTTAATGATTGAAACCTTACCAAATTTTAGTTAATTATTCTTTTTCGTCTCAACTAATTTATTGTAATTTTTTTAAAAAATTATTCCAAATTATTTATTATTTTAAATTAGAGACAATTTCAAAGATCTCTCTTCAAGTTCATTTTATAACACTTACATTTCATGTGGTTAACGATATTACGTCTACTTTCCTTATTAACCTATTTAAAATAAACATAAATCATTTATGACTTGACAAATTTTTAAATTTTTTTTTCATTTTATTCATATAATAATTGTTCATAAAGATTACCTCAACAAAGTAGATTAATAATGAAAAATTATACCTTAAGACATAAATGAAGATAATAGTAAAAAACGCCTTCATATGGTTTTTGATTGCCTAAACCAAAATGGTTAGGATGGGATTCATGGATCAGATAGTCTTATTTTTTATTTTTTTTTATGACAAGGAAAACCCGCAACGGCTATTCTTTGGGTGCGCACAGGGTAAAACTCCCGCTCCTATGCAATAGCTCACAAACGACATAGGAGAGTTAACCCACACTAGGCAAGCTCGGTGCGACGAGCTTGACCCAGAAGGCAAACCCCTTGCTTGCTTTCGCTGGCAAAAGGTTTCGAACTTGAGACCTCCAACATGGAAGTCTCAAGCCCAAACCACCGGGCCACCCCGAAGGGTGGATCAGATAGTCTTATATTCATTACTATTATTTTTTAATAATCAGATGAATAATTTTTTGCGGTGTCCGATACCCACATGACTAAATTCGAATTCATGCCGAAAAATTCCACATTGGGGAAAAATGCTTCCTAACAATAGATCAAACTCAAGACCTCTGATCGAGGACGAAGGAGTACTTACCACTCCACTACAACCCTGGTAAAGTTATCCATTGCATAGCCATGATTGATGAAATTGATAGTTGGAACTTCCACTAAGAAAATAATCAATAGACAAAATGACCATTGGAAACAACATATACAAGATTAATAAATTCCAAAACTAACTACAACTTTTTCACTCACCACCAAAACAAAGGGCTCCCGTTTGTGCAAATTTTGCAATTTGAAAGAATTTTGAGTATAACATGTTATTGCTTCACTGAATTCTCCTTATCTGGTTATCTGCCTCGCATTTGCAAGGCTCCTGAAAACTTTGAGGATTCCTTTAAAAGTTACACAGCCAATCAAAGTGTTATCGTCATGCATGACCCAAACGGAACTTGCACGATGTGCAAGTGCTTGAATCATCACAGCAACCAATGAACTGTTTGGATAACAAGTGATGGCCTCTGCCCTTCTAGCTGAAGCATATCGTCCTGAGCCATTATTATTTCTACAAACCCCTAACTCGTCATCAGAAGAACAACTAGAAACTGAACATGATGATGACGAAGACAAAGACAACTCTTCATCCATTAGTTCCAATAACGCACCAAGCTTTTTCTCTTGTAATATCACCTTCACGAGGTCAACCAAGTCCTCTGGAGGACCACCACAGTCAATGTAAGCCAACAGATCACCAGATGAAAGTGTCATGACTGCTGCTGCTGCAGTCTCATCACAATAGGCAAGAGTGGAAGGAGAGATTTCACCAATTAATCTGTCGAGATCATCAACAACTGCCACTGAAGTTTGCTCAACATGTGCAAGAGTAAGGGAATCTAAGGCAGACATTGCAGGTTCATGGTAACGAATAGTCATGACATTACAATCTATGATGTTGAGAGATTCAATTGAAGAAGTGGTGATAGGGGAGAACACACCAATAAAGTTCAGAAGGAAGCGGACAACGTCTTCTTGCGTTAGCCAGCAGTATTCAATTCCATCGCGATGTTTGCAACTCAGGGAAGATGATTTACTCTGCGTTTTCCTTGATTTTCCGCCAATGTGATTTTGGACTGGTATAACCAGATTCTGGGTGCCTTCAAGAATGTAATCTATTGCCTCCAGCAAGCTGAACAAATAACAAAAAGTTACCGAAAGACAATCAATAACAAATGTAAACAGAATAGCAAAGCTTCAGTTAGACTAACAATGTAATCTATAATACTTCTTCGATTTCAATTTATATGACATTTTCTTTTTTTAAGATGCCGAGATTATTCAATACTATATAACTTACAACAATTTTCAAGAATACCAATTTCATTAAACTATTTCTCCATCAACATATACATCAGAATTCCCTTTTATTATTTTTGTTCTGTTACTAGTAATTCCATACATTTTTTGATGAAAAATCAAAGGAAATACACTTTTGTTCTATTTTGAATAGCTTAAGGATCATTTTTGGTCCATTTCCATAAATTAAGCTAGCTTTTGATTATAGATTTTGGGAGTAGTTTTTGAAAATTTATTTTCAAATATCTATTTAATTTGATCCAAAATTTGATCTTCAAATATTTTCAAGTTTCCTCAAAACACGCTCAAACCCGTTTTTGGGAGTTCCACTCGTAAAAGTTCAATTTTCTTCCAAGTAAAATGTATTTCCAAACATATTTTGTAACTCCAATTTTCAACTTTGAAATATATGGGCAAATGGGAGCTAAATAACCAAATAGGTATCCAAATTCAAAAGTGAAAAGTACTCCCTCTTTTCCTATTGTAAATTTATTTAGTATTTTCTTGAAGTCAAGTTTTCAATAAATGAACATAAATTAATTTATTTTTATTAATTAAATTAACCAATGAATATGAATTTATCATTTAATTTTTCTATGTTGGTCAAATTTATACTTTCAAGTTTCAAGGCTAATAACTCTCAAGTATAAAATAGAAAGAAGGGAAAAGGGTCAGAAATGCCCTTTAAACTATGTGAAATGAACAAAAATTCCCTCCGTTTATGGTTCGATCCAAAAATACCCTTGTCATCAATATTTTGGTCAAAAAATGTTCTTATTGTTATTTAAGGAGTCAAAAGTGTTCATTTTCCAAATAAGTGTATTATTTATTTTCTTTTTCACACATTCTTTTTCTAATAATATTTTTTAAAAAATTAATTATCCTACTTCAATTTTTTTTTAAAATTCTTATTTTATTATAATTATTTTTTATCATTATACAAATAAAAATTAATGATGAATATACTATGAGACAATCGTCGAAAGGGTACATGGAGATTTTCTATTTTAATTGATAAAAGGAGATTAAGAAGAAAAAAATTGTTTCCGGCAGTTTTATTTGTTAAAGTGATTTTAAAAGAAAGAAAACAAAAATAAGTTTTTAATAATATTTTTATTTGGAAGATGTGTTTAAAATGAAAAGAAAAAACATATTTATTCCGAAAAGGGCATTCTTGACCCATTTAGTAACTATAAGGGCATTTCTGAACCAAAATATTGATTGGAAGAACATCTTTGAGTCAAATTATTGACGGAAAGCGCATTTTTTAGTCAAACTATAAACATATGACATTTTTGTTCATTTCACGTAGTTTAAGGATTATATTTTGTAAAATGACAAATATTACTCCCTCCGCTCCTTTTTAAATGTCATCAATTTCTATAAATAGTTAGATCATAACACTTGTCATTTCATAAAATCAATGCATAAATTACCATATTCTTCCTATTATACCCTTGATAGAGTAGTTAATTAGTCTTGAAAATATATATTTTGATCAACCTAGAAAAACTAATAAGTAATTAATATTTATTGGAATACTTCATACATTAATTAATTACTCTCTCCATTCACTATTCTATAAAATCTGATCTTGAAAATAAACTCAAAAATTTAAATAGTCATCCAAATGCATTTTAATTTTCGAAATCTCGCATATTCATTTGAAAAGTTGACTTAAGAAAATATTAAATAAGGATAAAAGGGTAAAGTTCATTAATTTGTTAATGCAACTACAATTTGAAAAAATGACATATAAAAAAGAACGGAGCAAACCTTGAATTTGGCGCCAAATGCCTCACAATTAAATTTCCTTTGGGCAAAATCTGTGAAACGGATGTCTCCAAAGCCTTTGAAAGATTATCCGAATTCTCATTTTTACAGAGAAAGCAAATCACATCAACCATGCAAATCTTCCCAACACAACGACATTCACATTCATCTTCCAGAACATTCTTCGAATGGTCACAGCTCCACACGCTCACATGAGGCTCGCTTGATTTATTCAACAGAGCTAACGCTTCCGATACGGTGGCTGCCGCCGACAATGGCTTTAACGCCGGCTTCCCTACGCACAGATCTGACACATTCCGGTTTAGAAATGTAGGACCTGCCATGTATTGAGAAAATCACACTGATTTGAATTTTGAATAGTATTGGAAGAAGAAGAATTATACAGAGATAGAAGTAGACGGCGGAGCGATAATGGGGATTTTTTCCGTGACCGCCGTACACGGAAGAGATCCGGTGGTGCTTTTTGGAAATGAGGATTAGGAAGATGATAAAATTTCTGGTATTTATAGTAGTGATTAATTACTGGTAAATTATTGATTAGTGGTGATCCTTTTTTGATGACCTTGCTCCACACATTTTTTTCTTTCTAATATTTTGATTCGGAAGGAGAGTATTAAAGCAATGATAAAGTTATCTTCTGTGATCTATAGGTTATGGATTTGACTCGTAAAAATAAATTTTAATGCTAGTATTAGAATAAGATGTCTATTTTACACCACTCAAGATTTGAGGCAGCACTCCCAACAAGAGAACCAGAGATAGTTGGTCAATAACTAGTCCAGCTTCCTTGTATCTCAATTTTCAACTTCTTGTCTTTGATTATTCAATGTGTTAATATTATTGCCATTTGTCAATAATAGATTTATTTTGGAAAATATTTATTGAAAATCAATTTACGACCGACAATAACTTACTCAGTGTAATCCCACAAATAAAGTCTGAAAAGGATAGGTGTACACTAACGTTACTTCTACCTTTATGACGTAGAGAAAGGTTGTTTTTGATAAACCAAACACACCCTACCTGTAAATTGTATGCAGGAATAGAACACAATAAAAAGGGTAACCATACAACTAAGCAAACATCTTTTTTCCCTCTTTTAAAAGGATTACTATATAACTTCTGCTGTTCTGATTACATTCTACTCATGGAGATACTCATACACAGAGAAATCATCATAAAGCAAAGACCCATCTACATAATGGAGCATGTAATAGCAAAGTTCACAGAAGTAGCAAGGATTTTCAGCAGCCCATTTATCATCAACAGTCACCTTAACTGCTTTAAAAATCTTGCAAACAGAGCATTTCTGGAACCTCAATTTTGGCTGAAAGGTTATCAGTGGATACGCGGCTCGGTTTTGTACGTCCTCGGGGTGTATCATCCTCATGTCTCTTATTACAACTAGATGCTTGCAGTCTCCCTTTATGTCATGCAAAAACAGACAAAAAAATCAATAACGTATATATACAGTATTCGTGCTAAACATGATCGAGTTTAACAATGGAAACAAATTTACAGAATCAAGTATTTCAAAGGTATTTGCAGGTAAATCTCGATGATGCTTGCGGGACCTCTATAGACCATGCAAAACAAACACAAATCCATTAACATCTATATATAGAGCACTACAATTCATGCTAAACATAACGTTTGACAACGAAACATATTTACCGAATCAAATACAAGGTATTTGTAGGTAATCTCAATGATTAACAGGTTGGATCAGTGTTGTCAAAGGCACACTTAAGCCCTGAAGCGAGGCTCAAAATGTGTTGAGCGCTTCGCCTCGATTAATGTGTGCTTCAGTGTCATCGTCAAAGTTCTAAGGCATATTTTTCTTGCCAATGAACCTCTGACACTAAATAACTGATAGTTCATTTTTATAGTATTTTTTTTCTTTGTTCATATATTTGTCATTCATCCTTATAATTATTAGCCTTGATTATATATTTGTATTTTTCTCCCTTTCCCCCTTTTCCATTAAAGTTCATGATTTATTTGACGCTTTGCATTTGAAGGCCCCACGGACCTTAGAGCTTTTTGGCACTTTTTGAAATAAAACATGCCATTCCAGGATTGGATTTGCAGCCTCGTGGTTCATCTACACCACATATCAGTTAGGTTAATGAGTTTTAACCTCACCGAAGGTCTTTCCCATTTTATCTCTCTCATTGATCATTGCCTTGGTGATGGATGAATTGACGCAGTATGTCCAAGGGGAGGCGTCATGGTGTATGTTGTTTGTAGATCATGTAGTAATGATTGACAAGACACAAAGCGGAGTTAATACTAGGCTGGAGGTTTGAAGACAAAGTACAGAGTCCTAAGAAACCAGAGAGTATTTGAGTGCAAGTTATGAGGCAAATGTGAAACTGAAGATCGATACACAAGTCATCCCCAAGAGTAGAAGTTTCAAGTATCTAGGGTCAATAATCCAAGGAAATGGAGCGATTGACAATGATGTTACACATTGTATTAATGTGGGTGAATGAAATGGAGGCTCGCATCTAGTGTCTTCTGTGATAAGAATGTATCATCCATACAGTAATTGTTAGATCAGCTACTTGTACGAGGCAGGGTGTCAACTGGTCAAGAACTCGCACATCCAGGTGATGAAAGTAGCGAAAATGAGGATGTTGAGATGGATGTGTTAAGAGAGATAAGATTAGGAACGAAATTTGGGAAAAGGTGGGAATGATCACCTTGGTGGAAAAGATGAGGGAGCAATTGAAATGGTTCAGACATGTGAAGAAGAGATGTTTGGACGGGGTGTGAGAGGTTGTTTTTGGTGGATCTGAAGAGAGGTAGAAGTAGGCCAAAGAAGTGTTTGAGAGAGGTGTGATTAGACAAGGCATGACATACTTGCAGCTTAGCAGGACATGACCCTAAATAAGAGGATATGGAGGTCTACGATTAGGGAACAATTTTAGTAGGCAGTCGAGTGTTGTCTAGTTTGAAATGCTTTACTTGACTGGTCTGTCGGAAACAATCTCTCTAAGTTCACAAGATAGGGCAAGGACTGCATACACACTACCCTCTCCAAACCCCACTTATGAGATTACACCGGATATTTTGCCCCCTCCAAAAAAAAACTTAGAAAAAGATCTACCACTAATTGTGTCATAATACACCCTTGCCTATTTTATTCCATAGAGGGACAAAAATATCCTTTACCATTTTTCAATGAAGGAAATTGGAATAAATGACTTGTTGATTCCACAGAGACTTCAGACAGAAAACATATGTTACCCCAAACTGCTCCTCTTTCTAAATGTCTTCCTGAGTCAAAATTGTCTTGACCCCCATTTGTGTAAAGAAAGGCACTCTTATAGGAGCTCTTGTACACCACACAGCCTTCCCAACCACTTCTATAGCTACAAGAGTATACACTGAAAATTCTGCATCTATCTGAAAATCTTAGTTTATAGTGACTGAAGGTTCTGAAAGGTACAAGTTGAACCTTAAATCAAGTAGAAATTCATTGCCTGAAATCTATAACTTCGGGGTATCAATGCAGACTTAACAAAACATAATAGAATCAAATAATCATTATAAGTGAAACCAACCAGTTACGATTGACATTTAGTCCTGGTAAAGATAAGCTTGAGATTCAAAGAACTTCTATTTTAGAAAATCTACCATTGGCCTTAAAAGACATTATTTGCCAGCATTGGAAGGATATGGCTCTGAAGAGAGGAATAAATGCAGAGGATTTATATACCCGACCCCACTAGATAAGGATTGAGGCATAATGGCAATTGTTGAAATATAAAATGCCTTTCTCTATCAATAATAGGGTATCGTCTAAATAAAAAAAATATTGGGTAGTCCTGATGGATGACTGGAACTATATGTGTATACTCATTGTATATATCTTAGACTTCTGTGGTGAAGTATTATTAATGAACATTGATTTGAATTAAAAATGAACAATTCCCCTGAGCAACAGAAAAATAAAACAAACTGAAAAAGAAATATTACCTGGTGACAGTAAAGATATCCAGCACCAAGTCGAAACCGTAAGTCACAGAAGCGGGTTTTTTGCATTTGAATGGTCTTGAAATGGGGCAATTGTGGTCCAATTTTACTGCCAAAAAGTGCCTTTTGTTTTTGTGGCAGTTCACCAGAGGCGATAGATTCCCATTTTTCCACCGCCTCACTTCTAGAATCTTGAAGCCAATCAAGTATTGGCTTACTATAGTCAGTAGCAGAAGGATGCCTGAAATCATTGCAAAAGACATCCTATGGAAAATATTTAGGTTGGTGATAAGAAAATTGATATTAATCATTTGGAAGAAAATTTTACTAGAACACTTACCTCCACAAGGAAGAAGCCCGAAGGATCATTTTTGCCTGTCTTTTTCATTATCTCATCAGTAATGCAATAAATTTTGTCTCTCATTTCCGTCAAAAATTGCCGCCCAAGGACCAGAAATTCTTGAGTCTACAGATAGGTATCATCATAGTCAGTTATAACAATAGGACAGAAGTTACATGAGTATTACTAAAACAGAAGTAACAACAGGATGTTATTTGATCATCCTCAACAAGGTTAACTATATTGTTTCAATACTATGGCAGCAGGTCGGAATAGTCAAAGCATGCAAAATGCACCCTGAATAAGCTATAACCCAGCAAAATAGCCTTCTATTTCATAATACAGATAAGGTCTCTAGCATACTGTTCCCAGAGAATTAATATGACTACTCTAGAGAATGAAGATGAAAGAGGTGGCAGATAACAGAAATATACAAATGCAATAATATTAAACTTCATTTCATCAGCGCTTCAAACAGCAATAAAGAACACGTTCATACTTTTGTCCATGTCTTTTTGTAATGATAAATCTCAACACACAGGATAGCTTCTGGAAACTGCACTGCAATATGTTCACGAGTATTTACTGCTCTCACCTGCCATTAAAAAACCAAGAATGAAATCAACAAACCATCATCTGTTTAAAACTAAGATAGCAGAAATTTTGGGGACTAAACCTACAGAAGTGTTATGTACATCTAATTCAGAATAAAACTGTTATAAAATTACTTTAGCCTGCTCTTGAAAGCACATCGGAAAGGTCATGATGCCATCATAGTATATATTACAGATTTACAATGTATGCAAGTGCAATGTATTGGCTAACATGAAATTATTTTTGCCAGATATCACCTATATGGATCTTTTTTCTTTCAATGTGCTTATCTTCAGCCAAAGTTTACACTGATTCCAAGAAATTGTAGGTCATTCAACACAAATCCCGTGATTTAGGTCTACCTCATTCCTTTTTAACACCTTCACTCACCACAATCTCACACCTATAGACCGGTGCATATGTAGGTAGACAGAGGATAGGACTAAACCATCTCAAGTGACTTTCTCCTATTTTATCCTCAATGTGTGCTCCTTGCACCTTCTAGCAAAGGTGTTCAATTTTTATTCTCGTCTAATTTATCAAATAAATTTGACCAGTCCAGAAACGGAATTTCCACGGACAGAATGTTGATCTACCATGGCACGCCAGACTTTTGCAGTCATAGGGGAAAGGAGAGTTGGATGGTCACATAGTTGCATCATGGCATTTGAAAGTAATGAAATTTGCAATGAGATTATATGGGGAGATGAAAACCATTCAATTATATCTCTTAGGCGATCAGAAGTCTCTCCATCAAATAAAGGAGAAAAAAACTGAATGAGTCATTAATTTATTTTAACAGCCGGAATAATCTTTAAACTAACTTAAGCTTTGGTCAGACTTTAAAAATTCAAGACTCATCCAAAACCAGGAGATACAGTAAAAAAGAATCAAGGTTCTTAGAAGCATAACCTTTGTTCCCAAGCTTACTGACTTGAGTGATATCATCCTACCACTCTTACTGGATGATGTTGGAGCAGAGTGGCTGCTGCTGCAACTACCACTGAACCAATATAAAAACGCTAGCTAAGATGAAGAACACAAAATATGCAAATACAAACAATGGATATAACAGGTTGGTTTAGTCATAAATAAAAGCATATCAACTAGAAACGATGATCTGTACTTGAAAGAGTGCAATCGTGCAGCTGCTTTCTCTTCCTCTTGTTTTTCTTTAACTTTTGCAAGTTGTTCCACCTTCAGAAAATAGTGTTCCTACAAAATGCAAGAACATCAACTTATTATTTGAAAATGTAAACAAGCAAACACACTTTAATTAAAACTGCAAGGAGTAAGAAATGGCGAAAAAATGAGCAGCCACTATTATGTCAATGAAAAGAATATATGTAAGGTGTGACTAAATAACTGGCAGCTTTTATAAGCCAAATTATGTTCGAAATTCTCTGTTCTCCTGTTCAGTTTTTATTTTTTTGGGGGGTCAATGTATCCTGATCAAATATTATTTTCTCCTGTTTAAAAAAATGTATTGCTAAACTTGGGAGATCTCTCCTTTTCAACTTGTTGGAACTTAAGTTGAATGAGCTACTAGGACTAATATGACAATAGAAATAGATTTCTTTGAGTTTTGGAGGCTTTTTTCTGTGATTGGCTGGAGGAGCTTCCGTTCATGATTCATCACTTCTAAAGTATGTGTTATGGAGGATTCACATTTCAGTTTTCATACATCCACTTCTTTGCTATCTATGATAAACGCTTGTGAGTCTAAAATCGGAAGTAAATTCTTAAGGGATAAAAAGATGAAAATAAGCTTGAACGTTTCTTTTACTCTTTAATCTTGATACATCTTAACCTAAATCATCAATATAAAACAAAATGCTAGATTACTCATCCAAGTGATCCGATAGTCCCAGTTAATGCATCGTATGACAATATAGAACTCTCGTCCATGATATGATAGGACACATGCTTCAAGTAAGAGGTGAGGACACAGAACTCAAATTACCAAGAACTAAAGAAAGACTTCAATACAACAGAAAATAGAGTGCTAGAACGGATATGTATAACAGAAAAAGGTCACTAGCATACATCAACAGTATTCTTCTTCTTCCGTTTCCTCTTGTTGGTCTTGCTTTTATCTGGACCTTTGTTGTTGAGGATCCCTAATTCGTCATCCTGTTATCATTACATGAAGATCCCTTTTATTTTATTTTGTAAGTGAAAATATGTAAACTAACCTTTTTTCGGATTAACTAGAATTTGTAAACCAACTCTTTTGATGGCTGTCTATAATTAAAAAATGTTACCTTAAATGCTTCTTCAAAGGCCTGAGCCACCAATTCTTCTTCACAGATAATTTTAAGATCTTCAATCCTGAAAGAATCAATGACCAAAGTCAGATCAATCAGAGTAGACTGTTCAAAATTTAAGAAATCATCCATACATAGGTCGTCTTACCAAAGTGAAATTTGAAGAGTCAATATCATAACTATTAAGTTCTACTGTTTTTTTTTTTTTTGGACAAGTATTACTGCTTATTTGAGCAGCCAGGAGCAGATATGGGATTTAAAAACATAATCAATTACGATATTCTTTAAACTACGTTCGCTAAATTAAAGTAAAAGAAAATAATTATCAGCTGCCACAAATAACTTCTAGACGAAAAAGAATTTACCAACAACCTACTAACAAGGTATATTGATAAATACAAACCATCCGAAAAACTACTCTACACATAATAGAATCAATGAGACCATCCCCTCAGTCAATGTTATTTTATGTCATCTCCTCTGTCTAAATAACAAACTTGGAGCAGAATACTCCAAAACCCAAGCTCTGCAAAGGAAAAAGAAACTGTGCATCCAACAAAACCCAAAGACTCACAAACAGAGAGCTGATCTCGACAAACGCTAGAGAAATCCCTCAAAATATTCCAGGAAATCCTGTTTCAATTGTCACTCTCATATCCATGACATAGTAAAACTAAATAACTTGCAGTGTTGCATCTCAAATAAATGAACTAATCACCATCTGAAATTAATTAAAGGATATGCAAGAGAAAGTAAGCGGAAGGTACATATAATACACATCGGTTTTATCTCCTTTTCTAGTATCAAAGAGGAGCAGAGAAGAGGGAACACTTACGATATCTCATCATCAAACATTTCCAGTGAATCAGAGGACAACTCTGCCTTGAGGCGCTGCATAACAAAATTAAGATCTTTAAAATACTGACCATAATCAAAGTTTCAGAAATGATGACACCCAAAATGGCCTTTATCTTCTTTTTTTCATTTTCATTTTTGTTTATTCGGGATCCAGGGGAGCTATGCATACAAACTCCTGATACAAGTATGTATACACATGACCATGGAATCGATAAAAGGCATAAAAGCTTCAAATAATGAGTGCCAATATAATCCAAAGTTGAAACAGCTTCATACCTCAAGTTCATGGAAGATGCTGACCTCAAAGTCAGCAACCTTCGTGAGTGGACCAACCATATCAGAAATGTAAATAGGACCACCACGAGGCACAGTAACATAGTTTTCATCTGCTGAAGCCTCAGGGTCCAACATCAAAGAACTTATTTAACAGTTACGAGCCGAAACTGGAGAAGAGAAAGAACAGTTAAGCATATAGTGGGAATCTCAATTCTCAGATCATATTACTCTATGTGTATCTTTGTCTAGGTATACAGAAAGGAGGACGTCAGAAAAATCAACACTCAATTCAGGCAAAATATACATGCATATTTTCTGAACATTCATACAAAATGTAATGAAAAGGGAGGTCAGATTTATTAGCAGTGTCAAGCTGCAGCAACAAGTAAAAGAGGCAGCTGGGTGCAACTGCAAGGTAGTGAAACTGAACAAGAAACAAACTTGACATAGTGTCACAACTATTTCAAAGGGATGTGGCAGCCTAAATACTACAAGAGAGAGTTCAATACACTGCGTGGGCTAACACGTCAATATATGTTTGAGCAGGGTTTAGGGAATAATATATACATTCTGAAAAAGAAATACTGCCTCTTATGAATGCACAAAACAAGTTTCAGTATTCTTTAAAAAAGAAAATAAACATTCTTTCAGAATTCAGAGAAACATCAATGGAATTCTAATAATCTTGATTTCATTACAACACTAAAAATAATTCTAATAAAACATTCTTTCGAGAATTATTTCCCGGAGAACATTCTTCAAAGATCAATTAGAAATATCACTACATGGTCACGAAAACATAAAGTGCTTTCTGTAATCAATTAGACATATGATAAGCCAATTTCCAATGAAACATTTATTGAAATAAGATTACGAAACAACTGGGACTCGAAAGCTAGGAAAAAAAATGAAAAAATTAGAAAGTCCCTATAGGAGTATTCTTTTTTTTTTTTCCTTTATCTATACTTATGAATATCAAACATCATGAGTGTAAAAGTGGACAACTTTGATCCTACCCTTAAGATGATTTTTATAACTAAAAGAGAAGACCTCAATTTGGGTTAAAAATAACTGAGTTTGTGTTTGTAACCCACTTAAATACTATTACGTTATCTCGCATCTCCCAAATTAATCTCATGAACCCTTTTGCTCATTCAGTCCCCCACTCCGCCGACCCCTTCTCCCAAAATCCCTAGAAATAATCAGTGATAATATATATACAAGAAATTTCTCATACATTACCAATAAATTATACACCACTCAGTAAAAATACACAACTCCCGACGATAAAGCCAGGGCGGCTCAACCCTAAGACCCCAAAAAATAAGGGCCTCCCAAAGAACCCCAAATTCAGTGACGAAGATGCACAAAAAAAACGAATTACAATAAGAGGTAAGATTAAACGAACAACCAAAAGAAGATGAAGGAGATACATACATGAAAGAGACAACCAGATTTGATGAAACAAAATAGCTAAGTAGAATATAAAAAAATTATCTATTTATTTTTGGAAAAAGGGACGAATTTACCCCGAACTTTAATAAATGGTACGTATATACCCTCCGTTATACTTTGCGTCCACATATGCCCCTGCCGTCCAATTATAGGTACACATATACCCCTCTCACTAACGGACCCCTAATTTCTTACACGTGTCTAACCCTATTGAACTACTCATTTGATCCTCTTTTTTAACCCATAACCCAATACCCACCCAATTTCCTCTAAAAAGAATCCTAATTAAAACATCCAAATTGACACACCAAAATCCGTCCCTTTCCCTAGTCAGAGGTTCCCGCGTATCTCACACACCAAAACCCTAGTCGTCGCCGCGATTCCAGTTTGTCTTCGTCGATTCCACCTTGTCTTCGTCGATTTCACCTTGTCTTCATCGAATCTATCGTGTGTTTGTCATAATTTTGTAGTCAATTTTTCATCTATCTGTCATCTCCCTCAAATCAGACCTAAAACTTCTTGTGATTCAATTAGTAACTCCATGATAATGACTTGTTTTTGTGGTGAATTGGTTCGTTGTTTCACTTTAAGGACTCCATGGAACCCCGAAAGAAGATTTTATAGATGTTCTAAACCTAAGGTACATTTTTCGCTAAATGTAAATTAATATGATTTATGCTTGTATTTTGGTGATTATGAGTTCTTCCTCTGTTATTTTTATTAGATTGAAAATTGTGAATTTTGGAGGTGGGAAGACAGTTCTTCAGAAAACTCTTCTATTGAAGTTAATTTATTGAAGTCTAAATTGGAAGTTGCTACGTTGAAAATGGAGAATTTGAGAGAGTCGTTGAATGCGGTGAAGATTGAAAGAGACAATTTGAAGAAAAAATTGGAGAATTTAGAGAGTTTAAACTACTTCGAGGTGAATAAATCAAGAAATTTGGAAGCTAAAGTGTCGAAGTTGAAGATGTTGTGTATATTGTCATTTACTGTGTTTGTGGTATTTGTTGTTGCAATTTTCAAGTGATTAACTGGTAGCATGAGGAATATATGTTGTTGAATTGTAGTTTCAAGGGTTAGTTATTTCAAGTATTTGTAGTTTCAAGTGTTAGTTATTTCAACTGTTCCTATGTATTAGTGAATCTTATGTTTGAATGTTGGTCATTATTTATTGTAGCTATTGCTTCAAACGTATTGTGAATTTCAAGTGTTGGCTTTGAACATTTTGTGTCTTTTGCCTTAAAGTTTGTAGTATTTATTTGTGTTATATTAGTCATTATGTTGAAGATGGATAAACTTTCTGGTATTGCCATTATGTTTTCCTTGAATTTAGAGAATCTGAAAATTAAATGAATGCTTGTCTTACCATTGTTTATGAAACGTGTTTTCAAGTGTTATTAAACTTGCACAAAGACACTATTAAACTATCAACATGAAAGTCACTAACTAACTTTTTTTTAAGCGAACAAAAATTCCATTACTTATCAGACAACATCAGAAACTCGGTTTAACATCATTCATGAAGTCTTAAATTTAAAAATCGTGCTTTGCTTGTTGTGACTGCTTGGTGATTCTTCAACTCACAACACCAGCTCTGTGACTGCCATTAGCTCTAATAAATCTAGGACTTGGAAAGCCATTCAACATGGATGGCAATATTGCCAAATTGGACTTCATTGGAAACCTGCGAACAACACACACATTAATTTCTAGAATGCCTTTTGGATTCGACTAAATACCCCTCTTAAATCATCATCATCTTATCACATCAGTCAATAAATTTACCTCTGAGTAAATCATCATCTACTTATCAGTTCAATATAGAACCAAAAGGAAAAGAAATTTACCACAACAGTCGACCATTGACAGAGAAAATGATCTCAAAAAATGTATACCCCAGCAAAATACTATTGTACATCAACAGAACCCAACAGATACAAGACACTATATATAACATTTACTTGGTCATATATAAGCAAAACGACAGTTAGTTTTAGCTGATACACTCATCCTATACAAATAGTAGAAGTAAAACAGAGTACCAAAGTTACAACTTTAACCTTAAAGGCATCAGCCTATAGTACTACCAAAACATCATTTAAGGCACCAACCTACACAAAATATACCAAAAAAATAAGTTTAGTCTTAACATCATTTAAGGCACCAGCCTATACAAAACATACCAAAAAGACAAGTTTAGCCTTAACATCAATAAAGGCACCAACATATACAAAACAGTACCAACACAATAGCATCATCCCCTTCTTTGCCTCAACTTTTGTAGCTGGTTTGTAGTAACTGCACCCTGTCCATTCCAAGTTAAGCCAGTTGGTCCTATGGGAAGATTTGTAGGTTCACTAACACCAAATTTGTCACCTCTGAAGCCTATTACTCTAATTCCAATTGGTTCTTGTGGGTTCTGTTTCTTTCTCAATCTTGTTAGAAAAGCTTCTTCTGAGATTGTTCTTGGCCTTAGCCTAAGGTCTTCATCATCATCCTCAGCTACTGGAAAATAGCTGCTAGAAGAAGCATATTCAAATTGACTTTCTTGTGTTGGTTATGGGGCTGTGCAATTGATATCTTCCTCAGAAGCTTTATCTTCATCAACTAAACCTCTCCTAAGTTGCCTCTTTTTTCCCCTGCCAGATTCTTTTCTTTGCTTAGCAGGTTGCTTCTCCTGCTTCTTAGTAGGTTGTTTCCCCTGCTTTACCTTATTAATCATAATAGAAAATATATAATTAAATAGTAAAATAAAATAATTATTTGATGAAATTAAAGATTAAATGAAAATTACCTTTTCACATCCTCTTGCATTATGATTTTGTTCTCCACAATTACTACATGTCATCATTTTTCCTTTTCTTGTTTGCTTTCATACTCCTTGCCTCTTAACAGCTTCATCCTTTTCTCTTTCCCTCATAAGCTTAGGTCTACCAACAAGCTTGACTAACTCTGGTGGTTCAATGGCATGCAAAAGATCACATTTTCAGAATGGTTCTCCCCTAACAGGTTGTAACTTGTGTTTGTAAACTGTCAATGTTGCCTCCTTACTATAATACCAATGAATTTCTTTCTTGGGTATCATTTTTTTGTGCTTCATGGCCTTAATTGCATGTGGACATGGAATTTCAGTCAGATCACATGTTCTGCATGTGCATTTTTTCTTTCTTAAGTTGACAATGTGTCTATCTGCACCTTCAGTAACCTCATAGCCATTATTCCCATTGCCACTCACCTTACAAACGTTGAAAAGCTTCAAATACTGAATAAACAACAACTCACTTTTGGGACTAAATCCATCATCTTTCCACTTCCTCACATCAACCTCTTTTGCTGCCAGTCTCTCCATTGTTTTGACCCTGATGTCTTCCAACATTCCAATAATTGGCTTGTACCTTGCTTCAAGTATCCAGGCATTGAATGATTCAGTAAAGTTATTGTCCACAGCCTGATTTTTGCACATTGTATCTTAATAGGCTCTGCACCATGCTTTGGGAGGATACTTGTCTATTAAATCATGTCCAGCCTCTCCATTAACTTCCTTCATCTCTTGAAGTTGGTCCTCAAACTCCTATGTAAATGATGACCATGCAGCCCACCATAGCAACTTTTTCAGCTCACATTTACCCCATCTTTTGCACCAATTTGCCTCAATATGCCTTGCATAATATCTCTGATGTGCTTCAGGTAAGACTATCATTACTGCTTCAAGCAGCCCCTAAGTATCAAATTAAAACAACTAAAA